GGCATCTACATCTATAGAACATGAAGAACCAGTGGCGTCTACATCTATAGAACATGAAGCACCAGTGGCATCAACATCTATAGAACATGAAGAAACAGTGGCATCTAATCTGCAGAACATGAAGAACCAGTGGCATCTCCATCTATAGAACATGAAGAACCAGTGGCATCAACATCTATAGAACATGAAGAAACAGTGACATCTAATCTGCAGAACATGAAGAACCAGTGGCATCTATATGCCACATGTTTAGTGTACACGCCGTACAACACGTTTGGAATTGACAGGAGTAAAGTTGGACTTGCGAAAAAATCTACTTACGAATAGTCATCGGGAACCTAACTGGTTCGTAAGTAGAGGAGTCCCTGTACCATGAGCTGCTCATAGCTAATGCAGCGCACGTTAAAGTCACGCACGTGAGCGTCTGTGATATGGATCTCCGTGGGGTTCTATGATGGGTCTCTGTGTAAGTCTATGGGTCTCTGTGTGAGTCTATGGTGGGTCTCTGTGTGAGTCTATGGGTCTCTGTGTGAGTCTATGGGTCTCTGTGTGAGTCTATGGGTCTCTGTGTGAATATATGGGTCTCTGTGTGTGTCTATGGGTGTCTGTGTGAGTATATGGGTCTCTGTGTGAGTCTATGGGTCTCTGTGTGAGTCTATGGGTCTCTGTGTGATGAGTCTATGGGTCTCTGTGTGAGTCTATGGGTCTCTGCGTAAGTCTATGGTGGGTCTCTGTGTGAGTCTATGGATCTCTGTGTGAGTCTATGGGTCTCTGTGTGAGTATATGGGTCTCTGTGTGTGTCTATGGGTCTCTCTGTGAGTCTATGGGTCTCTGTGTGTGTATATGGGTCTTTCTGTGAGTCTATGGGTCTCTGTGTGTATCTATGGGTCTCTGTCTGAGTCTATGGGTACTGTGTGAGTCTATGGGTCTCTGTGTGTGTCTATGGGTCTCTGTGTGTGTCTATAATGGGTATCTGTGTGTGTCTCTGATGGGACCTCCGTGTGAGTCTCGATTCACCGAGTACCATCCATGAGCCCGGAAGTTTCACAACGAGCTGCTTTTGTTCAAACGTTTCCTGTTGTCGACGCGGTCGATAATATTCCCGTGACGATTTGCCTACCCCCCCCCCCCCCCCCCCCCACTTATCGATTCAAATAACCGCCTCGATAATCGACCGTTCTTTAATTATTTATTAATTAGAAGGGCCACCGCTTTTTTTTGTTTTGCTGCGAATATTTTCGGTGTGTCAAGTGGCGACGCAGATTTTTTTTTTAGTTTGTTTGTTTGTTTGCTCCGATTTCGAATTGGCTTTCGTTGCTTCGCCTCATTGCGGTGCTCATACCCCGTCCGCTTTGTCCGGCCCCTTAGAAGGTCGCCTCTAACAAATGAGACTTCGATCCTTCAGGTATCCTGAGCTGTCAGCTGGTTGAACGAATAAACTTTGCACGTATCTACGGGTCCACTTTTTCATTGCAACAATAACTGGTGGTGGGTTTTTTTTTACATCTTAACACCGGATGTATTATAACGCCATTTCGAATGGTTTCTTTTCGTTATCTTAAACTGGCAAAAACTGGCAGCACAAAAAAAAGAGGCCCCGTAGATGAAACTGCTGAAACGCGAGCTGTGAACGCTTTGGAGTTTGCATTGTCCTTGTACTGTCCACCCTTTGGTGTCCTTTGGTCTGTGGCACCAGTGAGACAAGGCCATGAATGGAGCTGCAGTGCCGGACTATCCTAGTAGCAAACGCAGCATAATGCTACGGGCCCCGCACTGTCAAGGGCCCCGCGCTAAATGCTTTCAAGTTATCAATTCCGCTTCAGTGATTCTGCACTTGCTCTATTACCATAGTACTATACCGCCTTCAACTTTTATGAACGACTGGGTGTTTAAGGTTAGCGATTTGTCGTATCATAGCAAATGAAAAGATACAATTACTTTACTATGCAAGTTAAAAAAACGTTGTGTTTTAATATTTACGTGTTGTTTTAACATTTAGGGCCCCTTTATAACAGAAGCTACAGGTCCCGCACTAGCTTCATCCGGCACTGGGAAGCTGTAGCTCGGGTATAGGCCAATCAGTATCAAGGACAATGCATCCATCATCGAAGGGCATTTGTTTGCACGTTTTACCACAGACGTGGTGTGTGGCCAATGCAGACTTGACGGTGCCCTGCAATGGGCGTGTCTATTTGGTGTGTGGACATCTTAACACTTCCTGCATTAAATTTCGATTTAAAGCTTTCGTGACTGCAGGGATTTCAGACTCTGTCTTCTCGACAGACCTGTTCTCCACCTGAGGACGGCTTCTTGCGTTGTGGCCGAAACGTCGTGAGAATTATTTAATTATGTTTTATTTTTATTATTTTATTATTTCCATTCTACGTGACTTTACCGAAAGAACCTAGAAGATGAACCTCCTGCATTATTTCTATTCGTTTTTTTTTCTCGAATCAAACATGAAACTTGAACGTGTAGCCTCGCGTGATCCACAAGGTCCAATATTCGCAACGTATAACTGATCGCAAATGATCGATTCCGAAATGCACGACACTGACCGCGTGACTTTTCGATTTAAAGCTTTCGTGACTGCAGGGATTCATCTTCTTGGTTTTTTCGGTAAAGTCACGTAGAAGGGAAGTAATAAAATAATAAAAATAAAACATAATAAAATAAAATTATTTTATATTATTATATTATTTTATTGTGTTTTATTTTTATTATTTTATTACTTCCCTTCTACGTGACTTTACCGAAATTGCCAAGAAGATGACCGCGTGACGGTAGCCAAATCGGTTGTGAACTGACGCAGATTACTGTTTGAGCCACGGCGAGGAGAGAAATGTCAACGGCCGGGTTGGGTGAGCATCGTTCGAGTTGATTTCGTTGAACCGAGGTGAGACCAGGACGCGTCCCCATTGCGAGAGAGACCCCGTGCCTCTTAGTGTGTCAGTAAGCGGGGAGGCGGTGCTTGCATCTGTGTAATCCCAGTTGAGTAAATCTGCGGCATCGTCACGAAACCTACATCGGCGAGAGGGCCGCCACACATTAGAAACCATTGCGGTTTGACATCACGATGGGGGATGGTGTTTGAACGAGTTCTGTATCGTCGGGGGCAGCACTAAAGCACCACCATGGGCCTTGCAATCAACGACCCTTGCTCTGCAGGGAATGAAACTTGTTGGTATCGTGACTGCCACCGTTGCCGTGGTCGCCGCTTCTATCTACGCGCGTTGAACTTCGTTCGCGCCGTACGTGGCCAACCGTGCCAATCGGAGGCGCTGCGGGGAACCGATCACGTTGACGCCTTCCGAATGCAACCACGTGGCACTTCACGAAGTCCGCGCAATTAGTCGAGGCGGGGCGGGGGGAGCGAGTCACACGAATTGAAGGCGAACCGTCGATAACGGAGCGCCGACACAGGGACGTGATGTGTTGCCAGCGACCCGCGTCGCATCTCGCATCACGTCCGCACCACCTCTGAATGAACAAACCGCACAGCAATCAATTGGCTCAATTAATACCCCCCCCCCACGCACCCCCCCCCCCTTCCACGCACCTCCCTTCCCTACGCACCCCCCCCCCCCCCAGCAACTACATGATCCCCACATCTCAACCCCTAATTTCTTGCCAAGTTCCCAATGCGTGGTGGACATCACCACATCACCACACAGGTTGGCACAAAGGTTGGCAGGTCGTCCACAGCTCCACCCCCCTCCTCTCCCCCCACTCACCCCTCCCCCCGCGCCCCGCCCCGCTCCCCATTGTGCAAATAAAAAAATAGTGTCGTCGTGTTGCTGTGTGGGTGTTTACGCTTTCTGCCCAGTCGCACATCTCCACCACTCACGCCGATTCCAAAGACAAAAGATCCCGCCCCCCGGTGTAGCCTTAACAGACTGTCGGGGCAAGTGCTGTTAGCGAGTGCCGGCACGGCACGCGAGCGGGTTGGGTGGCCAGAACCACGCGCCCCCGACCGACCGCCTTTGTCTCACCCGCACCACGTGCTCACTTGGGGCTGTGTAGACGTGGGAGGGGGGACGCAGGACCGTTTCAGACAATCATCGCTGCCGGAGTTGGTGGCGGCCGTGATGCGAGAATCGAATTCGGATCGCCGGGGGTTCGTAGCGCAACGCGCTAACCGCTGCGCCACCGCTCCCCACCACCGCCGCCGCCTCCACCACCAACCCACCGCTCAGTCTTGCGACATCAGTGGGGGGAGGAGGAGGGAGGGACTCGCAGCGTGGTGAGTGGCGTTGTGTGGGGGTCGTTCCAGGAGTGCTGGTTGCTGCTGGTTGGTGGCTTTTGCTAAACGTCGAGCCGCTCTCATGCTGGAACCTATTCTTTACTTGTAGAGCGCATTCGCTTAAGGCGCTTAACGTCGTTTTTAAAGTGGGGGGGGGGGGGGGGAACGGTATCAAACGAGGATGATTTAGATGGCGGGAGGCGTGCAGCAGTAGGTAGAACGAGGGGTGGGTCGCCGCGCTCGAGGGGTCGGTGAGGGGTAGGGGAGGGACGGGAAAGAAGTGGAGGGGAGAGGGGAGGGGAGAGGGGAGGGGAGAGGGAGCTGAAAGAGAGGAACGGAAGGAGGTTAAGGAGGGGGGGGGGCGCTCAATGTACAGGAGAAGTGTTGAGTCTATGGGCAGTGTTGAGTCTATGGTGCAGTGTTGAGTCTATGGGTAGTGTTGAGTCTATGGTGCAGCGTTGAGTCTATAGTGCAGTGTTGAGTCTATGGTGCAGTGTTGAGTCTATGGGTAGTGTTGAGTCTATGGTGCAGTGTTGAGTCTATGATGCAGTGTTGAGTCTATGATGCAGTGTTGAGTCTATAGTGCAGTGTTGAGTCTATGGGTAGTGTTGAGTCTATGGGTAGTGTTGAGTCTATGATGCAGTGTTGAGTCTATGGTGCAGCGTTGAGTCTATAGTGCAGTGTTGAGTCTATGGGTAGTGTTGAGTCTATGGGTAGTGTTGAGTCTATAGTGCAGTGTTGAGTCTATGGTGCAGTGTTGAGTCTATGATGCAGTGTTGAGTCTATGGGGCAGTGTTGAGTCTATGGGCAGTATTGAGTCTATGGGCAGTGTTGAGTCTATGGTGCAGTGTTGAGTCTATGGTGCAGTGTTGAGTCTATGGGCAGTGTTGAGTCTATGGGCAGTATTGAGTCTATGGGCAGTGTTGAGTCTATGGTGCAGTGTTGAGTCTATGGTGCAGTGTTGAGTCTATGGTGCAGTGTTGAGTCTATGGGCAGTGTTGAGTCTATGGGCAGTGTTGAGTCTATGGGCAGTGTTGAGTCTACGGGCAGTGTTGAGTCTATGGTGCAGTGTTGAGTCTATGGTGCAGTGTTGAGTCTATGGGCAGTGTTGAGTCTATGGGTAGTGTTGAGTCTATGGTGCAGCGTTGAGTCTATAGTGCAGTGTTGAGTCTATGGTGCAGTGTTGAGTCTATGGGTAGTGTTGAGTCTATGGTGCAGTGTTGAGTCTATGGTGCAGTGTTGAGTCTATAGTGCAGTGTTGAGTCTATGGTGCAGTGTTGAGTCTATGGGTAGTGTTGAGTCTATGGTGCAGTGTTGAGTCTATGGTGCAGTGTTGAGTCTATGATGCAGTGTTGAGTCTATGGGCAGTATTGAGTCTATGGGCAGTGTTGAGTCTATGGTGCAGTGTTGAGTCTATGGTGCAGTGTTGAGTCTATGGGCAGTGTTGAGTCTATGGGCAGTGTTGAGTCTATGGTGCAGTGTTGAGTCTATGGGTAGTGTTGAGTCTATGGTGCAGTGTTGAGTCGATAGGCAGTGTTGAGTCTATGGTGCAGTGTTGAGTCTATGGTGCAGTGTTGAGTCTATGGGCAGTGTTGAGTCTATGGGCAGTGCTGAGTCTATGGGTAGTGTTGAGTCTATGGTGCAGTGTTGAGTCTACGGGCAGTGTTGAGTCTACAGCCAGTGTTGAGTCTATGGTGCAGTGGTAAGTCTATGGGCAGTGTTGAGTCTATGGGCAGTGTTGAGTCTATTATGGGCAGTGTTGAGTCTATTATGGGTAGTGTTGGGTCTATAGGTAGTGTTGAGTCTATGGTGCAGTGTGATTCTGTCGTGCACTGCTGCTTAATGTACAGATGCAAGTTGATTCCAGTGGAGGGGTGCAAGAGGGGGGGGGGGGGTGGGCGAGAAGGGCAGCATCGAAATTGGCTCAAGAGAGAGAGAGATCTTGGCGAGGCAAGGCTGAGAATCGCGCGGGCAAGGCTGGCGGAGGGACGCGCGCCTGGCCGCCAAAAACTCCACACGCAGAACGCCGGAAGCGTCGTGCCGCCGGTGATGGGGGTGGGGGGACGTTAGCGAGGGGGCCCTGGCGCGGACGAAGTGATGCGGACACCAAGGAATCGCCGGTCTCGTCGAGGAGCAGGAACCATCATCACGCGAACTCCGGTCGCCCCTGCAGCAACAGCAGCCGCGGCGGCGGCTTTTGGCTGACCATCGAACGAAAACTGCGGTCACCGCGTGGCGCGCTTTAGGATGCGCTTCTGATGGCCGTCTGGAACGCTCTTCCTTCCTGGAGCAGTGCACTTTTCAGGAAAGCTTCTTTTTTGCGTGTTAGTTTGTTGTCCCTCCCCCTTTCCCCCGCCCCTCTCACCCATCCCCCCCCCCCCCCCGAGAGACGACAGCCGTCACCGCCGCACAAAGACGGGAGGAGCGGTGAGACTCCTCTCACGAGCGCGAACGCCGCCTGGGTTTGCAGGTCCACGAGAGATGGCGGCGGTTGTGGTGATGGCACGGTCAGGTAGGGGAGGGGGGGGGTGGGGAGGCTTTCATCCAGCAGTAGGTAGAACGTGACTCTCACTAACAACAACAACGTCAGAGGAGGAGGAGACGAGGACGAGGATGATTTTAACAATGAGAGAAAATTTTGACAATAAAATGAAGGTGAATGTTCGCGAAAACCAGCGAACGAATTCGCACCGAGATGCAGTCACTTCCGCCGCTTCTCCTCCTTGTCTCCGTTCCCGATCTTGCTCTGCGGGCTCCCTCCACCCTGCTGCTGCTGCTGCGGGCTGTTCAGGTACAGCTTGTCCGTGGCTTTGAGGGCCTCCGTGAGGTAGTTCTGGAAGGCCGTGAGCGCCGCACAGATGGCGGGTCCGCCGAAGCCGTGCGTGATGAGGCTGAAGTGGGACAGGGCGGCTTGCACGCCGGGCTCCAGGATCGGCGGGGGCCTCGCGTTGCCCAGCGGCGTCCGGTCCTGGGACATCAGCTCCGTAAACTCCTTGCAGATTTGTCTAGGGGGTTAAGGGTGGAGGGTGCGGGTGGCAGGGTCACGGTTAAAAGAAGGATTTCCCAAGCGAAAGTATTCAGAATCAGAAGTTTGTTTTGCAGGTAAATAATAACACTGGTCAACAACAAATTTTTTTTTTCTGGCCTGGACTTTTGCAGCTGTTTTAGACTAATTTCAGGGTGCTGAATCCAAATCTGATCTCAGATTTGCTCTATCACATCTCATTTTTATGCTATCGGCATACCCCATTTTCATTGATTTTACCCGAAATTAACTCTGTCACTTATGATTGCAAGTTGTTGCGAGTCAGTGACTGCTTTAGTGTTAAAATATGGTGCTGTATTTTTAGGATAGTGTGTTTATAATATAATTTTATGTAGATATCCACATTTATTTAATATTTTTCTTCCGCAGTTTTTATTGAAAATGCAATATTTGATATCTCAAAAACCTGATGTGATGGACAAAAACTGATGCCAGATTTGGAATCAGCACCCCAAAATTACCTTAAAACCGTTGGAATACCTTCTGCCAGAAAAAGTGTGTTGACCAGTGTAATAGATGATGTTGATGATTGATAGCAAATATTGTTAATCCGCTGCTTGGATGAAATGTCTTTGGAGACTTATCTCGGCTGTGGGGGGTTGTTTGACCAACCCGTGGGGACGGCCACGGTGGTGAGATGTTAACCACCTCGCCTGGTATACAGGAGGTCGTGGGTTAAATCCCGACCCTGACGCCTGCTGCTGTATATTTAGAGTTTGCGCGCCTCTCTCCCCGTGGTCACGTGGATTTTTCTCCGGGTCCTCCGGTTTTTTTCCCTCCACATTTAGAATCAACGTCACCGTGTGTTTAGAGTATTGGGCTGGGATAAACTTCCACGTGGTAATCCACTTCCTTGAGCTATCATTAATAATAGCCAGGTCGCTTCTAGAATAGAGCTACATATCTTCTTGGTTCTTTCGGTAAAGTCACGTAATAATAAAATATATATTTTTTTATTTCCCTTCTACGTGACTTTACCGAAAGAACCAAGAAGATGAATCCCTGCAGTCACGAAAGCTTTAAATCGAAAAATAGAGCTACATAGTTCAGTGGGCTTCACCTGATAAAATAAAATACAAATTTTATTAGTTAGTTACACCATACTGTACTGATATAATTTAATATGTTTATATATTTATAGAGCACCTATTTCACGTAGTTAAAATACGATGACATAATGGGATGATTTAGATGGCAGGGGAGTGCAAGGGTTGAGGAATGAGTGACCGTGGGCTAATGTGGGATTATGAAAGAGCTGTCGGGGAGGGATGGGAGGGAGTGGAGGGGCGGGAAGAGAATGGCGACATGGGGCGATCGCTGTTAGCGAGCACCTATTAAGGGCTGCTCGCTAACAACGGAGTGGAGAGGCCAGTATGCTAAGCCCGGCCGCCTTTGTCTCCCCAGTGCTGATGCTCATACACTAGCAACAGGCACTCGTGTAAGGCGGTCTAGTGGGGGTTGTGGACTGGTTCAGGCATCACTCGCTACAGATGTTGGCCGTGGCCGGGATTCGAACTCAGATATTCGGATGCATAGGAGGGTTTGCTAACCACTGTGCCCCCGCTCGACCCAATACACACGTACTGTGTACACAGAGGCACGTGCATACATACGCACACATAAACACCACAATTACATGTACACACATAGAGTAGACACAAATTACAGAGACAAAGATTCCCAATATAGCCTCAAATCGTCCACACACTCAGTCCGACACTCACTCAACCTATTTAACTATTATATTTTGTAACTGTTTTTTTTTTACCAGGTAAGGCTCACTGAGTGATACAGCTCTTTTTCAGAAGCGACCTGGCCACAGATGAAAGCTCAGGAAAGTGGCTTAAGTGGAAATTTATAGCAGCCAAACACTCTAAAGGCATGTTTCTAAATACTTCTAAATATGTCTATAAACTACAAGGTCATTCACTCAACCACCCACTCACTCATCCACCCACCGACTCACTCAACCACCACTCACTCACTAAACCACCCAGTCACTTAACAACCCACCGACTCACTCACTCATCCGCCCACCCACTCACTCAACCACCCACTCACTCAGTCATCCACCCACTCACTCATCCACCCACTCACTCACTCATCCACCCACCCACCCACTCACTCAACCACCCACTCATTCACTCATCCACCCAACCACTCACTCAACCACCCACTCACTCACTCACTCAACCACCCACTCACTCACTCAACCACCGACTCACTCACTCATCCACCCACCCACTCACTCATCCACCCACTCACTCACTCATCCACCCACCCATCCACTCACACAACCACCCACCCACTCACTCACTCAACCACCCACCCACTCACTCAACCACCGACTCACTCACTCATCCACCCATCCACCCACTCACTCAACCACCCACTCACTCATCCACCCATCCACCCACTCAGTCAACCACCCACTCACTCACTCAACCACCCACTCACTCCCTCAACCACCCAATCACCACGTTGCAAATCACACCGCGTCTCTTTCTACTTCTTCACGAATCAAGTTTACATTTCCTCTTATTATCGTCTCTCTCCCACCCCCCAATCTCTCACGAAAAATATGCGGCCCCAATTCAGGACACGCGTATTAACCCTTACCCATTACGAACGCTGATAATACGGCTAGTGCTGGTTGTTGCTGGCTGTTTGACAATGCTGGGCCACTGGGACCTGCGTTTAGTAACTGTGCTTTAAACAACAACAACAACATAATAAGGAAACAAACACATTCAACAGATAAATAAGTAAATGAATCATTGTTAATTGCATAACACAAAAGAAGTGATGACAAGAGAAGCGAGGATGGTGTTAATCGTACAGATCCCAAGAACGTGACCCCTGGGATGGGAGGGGGGGGGGGGCAAGAGGTGTGGGTCTGGTGCAGACATTTTTATACACTCATTTGAAAACAAATCCATTCACACGTACAGCATAGAATCATAATAATACATCAACAATACATTACCCAAAAGACGAGGCAGGCTGAGACACAATGACACAGATCCCCCGTATAACCAGGACAGGCCGTTGGGGCAAGTGCCGTTAGCGAGTAGCACCTCGGGTGTGGACCAATCAACTTCAAGGACAGTGCATACATTATCAGAGTTATGTTTTTTGTTTGCATTATGACTGCAGGTATTGTGGTCTATGCAAACATGACTCCTTGTAAAAAAAGGTGTCAGTTTTGTTGCCAGATAGAAGGGTAAAAAAACAATTATCATATTTTTTACTGCCAAATGAGGTTCCAATGATGAGGTTCCAATGGAGTAGCGCCTATTAAGGCCGGCACGGCACACGAGAGGGTGGGTGGGTTTCCAGCACCACGCCCAGCCACATTTGTCTCCAATAGTAACGCTGTTTATACACACTACACCAGGTACTCATTTGTGGCTGAGCCAACCTAGGGGAGGCCCAGGACCTGTTCAGATAATCGTCGCCGGCGTTGGTGGTGGCCGTGAGCGGGAATTTAACTCGAGATGCAGCACTCGCCGCTACGCTACCGCTCCCCAACATACTCTGAAGCAGACAAAACCAAAGACAAAGATCCCCCGTATAGCTCTGCCAGACTTTCGGGGCAAGTGATGTTCGGGAAGAGCACCTATGAAGGCACGCACGTCACGCAAGAGGGTGGGTGGTCAGCACCACGCTCGCCCGACCATCTTCTGTGTGACGATATTTCCACATCGCACCAGGTATTCATTTTAGGCTGAGTCGACCTAGGACTGGAGGCCCAGGAACGGTTCAGATAATCGTCACTGCTGGTGTTGGTGGTGGCCGTGAGCGGGAATTGAACTCGGGTTGCCGCACTCGCCACTACGCTACCGCTCCCCAAGACACACCGAGGCAGACACACACAAACAACAACAACAGCCATTCGCCACTAAGTGGCGGTGACCTCGCCACGGCGCTTGTACCAGGCTAGGTGCACGTTGAGGCCACGTGAAGTGTCGAACGCCCGCCGGTGGCAGGAGGTCACGGGGCAGACCAGGCAGGTGCCACGGGTCGACTGACCGAGATGACTGACCCGATGCACCACCTGTGCCCCCCCCTACTGTGCCAACTTGCTGTGCTTTAGCCACCCGGCGCTCCGCGCACACACGCAATGGCATTCTCGTCTCGAGCCGCCCACGGCAAGCAATACGTTTGAGGGGCTAAATGCCAAACACACTGAAATTAAATAATTCAATTCGCAGTTTGTCTAAATCAGGCTAAATTGTAGACTCAATGCCACCCGGAGTGAGAGCGAGAGGGCGAGAGAGCGAGAGAAGAGTGGGTGGTGGGATGGAGAGATATGGCGGGGGAGTATTTCCACACACAAAAAAAGCAGCAGCAGCATCATCATCATCGCAGTTTTTTTGGCACGAACAACAAGTCAGGCAAGGTGCCGCTGTCAGCGATAATATATGCGGCGATAGCTCACAAGCATGCAGCCAGCAATGGCATGAGACGGGTGTGCGTTTGCGTGTTTGTTGAGCCGGGGGGAGCGGTGGTGCAGCGGTTAGCGTGCTGCGCTACGAAACCTGCCCACCCGAGTTCGACTCACGCTCACGGGCCACCAACCCGTGACGATTATCTGAACCGGTCCTCGGCCACCCCCCCACCTCCCCACCGCTTCTAGGTCGACTCAGCCTCAAATGAGTACCTGTTGCGGTGTGTAAACCTCACCACAGGGCGTGGTGCTGGCCACCCACACTTCCATGTGCCGTGCCAGGCCTCCATAGGCGCTCGCTAATAGTACTTGTCCCAAGAGTCTGTTAAGGCTATACGTGGGATCTCAGTCTTGTGTTGAGCGTGCCACGCGGGAGACAAAGACGGCCGGGCATGATGATGGCCACTCACGCCCTTGGGGTGCCATGGCGGTCCTCATACTTGCTGCTCGCTAACAGCTGTCTGTTCAGGCTATTCGGGGGATCGTTGCTGCTCGCTAACAGCTGTCTGTTCAGGCTATTCGGGGGAACTTTGCCTCTGTCTTGGTGGATACAAACACGCCACGTTACTGCGACTGCGCTGCTCTTTAAGAAACTCATTCACAGCCCCCCCCCCCCCCATCCAGCCAATTTGCAAGGCCATTAGCTCTACCGGCGATATGTGCGAGTTTGAGTGCACTGCAGGAGGGGGGGGGGCGGTAGTGTCGAGGTTAGCGCGATGCGCTATGAACCCGGCCACCCGAGTTCGATTCCCGCTCACGGTCAACACCGGTGACGAGCATCTGAACCGCTTCTGTGTCTCGCCTAGATCGACTCGGCCTCAAATGAGTACCTGGTGGCGGTGTGTAAAACATCGCCACTGGAGAGACAAAGGCGGCCGGGCGTGGTTGCTGGCCACCCACCCCCTCGTGTGCCGTGCCGGCCTTCATAGGTCCTCGCTAACACCACTTGCCCCAAAAGTCTGTTAAGGCTACACGGAGGATCTTTGTTTTAATGTTTTATTGTGGGGGGGGGGGGGGGGGCGGTAGAGTAGTGGTTAGCTTTGAACTGCCCCACGAACGCGGCGACGCAAGTTCGATTCCAGTCTACGAATCAATAAACAGTGGCGCATATTGTAACCGCTCCCGGGGGCAGGTGATGGGTTCGGTGGCTCCCCTAGGTCCACTCAGCCTCAAATGTCGCGGTGTGTTATAACACATCAGCGTTGTGGAGACAGAGGCGGTCGGGCATTGTTCGAGCCACACCACACCATCGTGTGCCGAATCTGCCCTAACAGCACTTGCCCCAACAGTATGTCAAAGGCTGTACGGGGGATCTTTGTCTTTGGAGTTGGGGGACGAGGGGGGGGGTATCTGGGAGAGAGAGGGGGAGGGTTAAATGGGAGCACTGGATGGCGGTTGTGGTTGATCGCAAGAAACGTCGCGGGATGTCAGATTAAACTAGATACACGCAACGCGTTCAAACCTACACACACGTGGGTTTGAAACGCTACACGAGGGGGTGGGTGGCCAACACCACACCCAGCCGCCTTTGTCTCCCTAGTGGCGACGTTTATACACCGCAGCAGCTACTCAATTGAGAACGAGTCGATCTATGGGGGAACCCTTTTCAAGTTGATTAGACCCAGCGGAGGTCCAAGACCGGTTCAGATAACCGTCACTGGTGGTGACCATGAACGGGAATCGAACTCAGGTTCGCCGGGTTCCTAGCGAAGCGCGCTAACCGATGCGCCACCGCTCCCGCTATTAACACACAACACGCACACGCACACACACGCGCGCAGGCGTACGAAATGGCGTGCCCTTTAAGAAACACTCACAGGCTCCCTCCCAGCCAATTTGCAAGGTCATTAACTTAGCGCTTACTTGGGAGTTTGACTGCCTGTGGGTGGTGGGGGGGGTTGGGTTTAAAAAGAGAGGTGGTGGGGCTATAGGTGGTGGGGGGAGGGGAGGTGATGGGAGCGGAATGGGGTGGCTGTTGTGGCCCTGGTGGTTGTGGGAGTGGTGGCCGGCGAGAGTCGATCGCGAGCGATGCTGAGGTCAACAGAGGGCGAACAATGGGGAGTGGTGTCACCAGGAGGGTACACAAAGACAAAGATCCCCCGCGTAGCCTTTAACAGGCGGCTGAGGGCAAGTGCAGCACCACCGCCGGCCACCTTTTGTCTCCCGAGTGGCGGTGGTTTGGCATCGCACCAGGCACTCATTTGAGGCTGAGTCGACGTAGGGGAGGCCCAGGATCGGTTCAGTCAGATAAACCTCACTGGTGCTGTTGGTAGTGAGCGGGAATCGAACTCGGGGCGACCCGATTCGGTGCGCGGTGCGCTAACCACTGCTCCACCGCTACCCACACAAACACACACAAACGACAAAGATCCCCCGTATAGCCTGAACAGACTGTTAGGGCAAGTGCTGTCTGCGAGCATCTATAAAGGCCAGCACGGCACACGAGGGGGTGGGTGGCCAACACCACGCCCGGCCGCCTTTGTCTCCCCAGTGGCGATGTTTACACACCGCACCGGGTACTCATTTGAAGCTGAGTCGACCTAGGGGAGGCCCAGGACCGGTTGAGATAATCGTCAATGGTGTTGTCCGTGAGCGGGAATCAAACTCGGGTCGCCAGTTTCGTAGCGCAGCGCAGCGCTAACCGCTACACATAAACACATACACACACAAACACACATACACACACAAACACACATACACACCTACACACACAAACACACATACACACATACACATACATACACACACAAACACACATACACACATACACACACATACACACATACACACACATACACACACAAACACACATACACACCTACACACACAAACACACATACACACATACACACACAAACACACATACACACATACACATACATACACACACAAACACACATACACACATACACACACAACACACATACACACATACACACACAAACACACATACACACATACACACACAAACACACAAACACACATACACACACATACACAAACACACATACACACATACACACACAAACACACAAACACACACGTACACAAACATACACACACATACACACACACACGTACACTAACCACGCGTCCCGATGTGACGAGCCCGCTGTGTAATCTAATGGGACCCTCCTAACGCCGCCTGTTAATGAGGGCTTTGCGTTAACATCACGTGCATTTAAAAAACACACACAACGACGTGACGACGTGTTAGATTTGTAAACAAATCATTCCCAGGTCTTTCACCCACACCCCCTCTCCCCCCGTATTTGCAGCGTGTTTGCTTATTTACTTATTTATCCACAAATGTGTTAATTTACTTACTTGCGCACATGCTAATTAGGCGGGGGTCGGGGGGGTTAGCGTGTGGATGGGTTAAGGCATTCGGGTTATAGTGCCGGATTAAGCTGAGTACGGGGCCTGCAGCATATGTTATAAGGGGGCCCTAAATTTATAACAACACTTAAATATTAAAACACCATTTTTTTTACTGGCATAGTAAAGTAATTGTATTTTTGCATTTGCTATACAGCCAGATAATACGACAAATCGTTAACCTTAAACACCCAGTCGTTCGTAAAAGTTGAAGGCGGTATAGTACTATAGTAATAAAGCGAGTGCAGAATCACTGAACCGTAATTGATAGCTTGACAGCATTTAGCGCGGGGCCCTTGAAAGTGCGGAGCCCGTAGCTACTACATATGTGTAGTAGCTACTACACATATGTAGTAGCTACTACACACATGTAGTAGCAAGGTGGGGGGGGAGTCCAGATGGGGTAGGGGGGGGTCCGGGGGGGGTGGAGGGGTCCGGGGGGGTAAAGGGAGAGTCCGGGGGGGGTAAGGGGGGAGTCCGGGTGGGGTGGGGGGGTCTGGGGGGGAGTCCGGGTGAGGTTGGGGGGGGGGTCCGGGGGGGGAGTCCGGGTGAAGTTGGGGGGGGGGTCCGGGGGGGGGTAAGGGGGGAGTCCGGGTGGGGTGGGGGGGGTCCGGGGGGGGAGTCCGGGTGGGGTGGGGGGGGGTCCGGGGGGGGAGTCCGGGTGGGGTTGGGGGGGTCCGGGGTGGTGGGGGGGGGTCCGGGTGGGGGTGGGGGCCTCAGCACCCACTTGGTGGCGAGCAGCATGCTCTTCCGCCCGTGGAGGTCTCCGGGGTCCGTGTTCTGCCGCGTGAGATACTCGGCGGCCGCCTTGGCGGGGAACTCCGTCTCGCTCACGTAGCCGAAGTCTCGCGCCAGGTGGATCGCCTCGCCTGCCGCGCCACACGCGGACGACGATGACGACGATGATGATGATGGTGACAATGATGATGACGACGATGATGATGACGACAATGATGATGACGACGATGATGATGACGATGATGATGACGATTATGATGATGATGATGATGACGATGGTGATGACGACCATGATAATGATGATGATGACGATGGTGATGACGACCATGATAATGATGATGACGACGATGATGATGATTATGACGATGATGACGATGATGACGACGACAATGATGATGACGATGATGATGACGATGATGACGACGACGCGTATTTGTGTGCGTGTAACAAAATTCGGGGGGGAGGGGGTGGGAGAGACAAAGATGGTCCGGGGGTCAGGTCCAGCAGCTTCGGCAAATTGGGGAGACGGAGGTGGCCGTGATGGTAACATCACCACCACCATCACCACCACCATCAACAACAACAACAACAACCGCCATTCGCTACTAAGTGGCGGTGACGTCACCACGATGCTTGTGCCAGGCCAAGTGCACCTTGAGGCCACGTGAAGTGTCGAAAGCCCGCTGGCAGGAGGTCACGGGGCAGACCCAGGTGCCACTGGTCGACTGACCGAGATGACCGAGATGACTGGCTGATGCACCACCTGTGCCCCCTACTGTGCCAACTTGCTGTGCTTTAGCCACCCGGCGCTCCGCTCGTTGTTGTGAGCGTCGCTCCTCCGCCCTCCGTTGTTGTTGGAGGGCGACTGCCTCCAACTGCCCAGTAGCGTCCTTCACGAGCCTCCTCCACTGAGGCCGATCTTGACACCGCTGGTACCAGTCATCGGCAAGTCCACTCAGCTCCACGTCCTCCTGTACCACATCACTCCATCTCTTCTCCAGCCCGTGCCGCGCCCGTCTAGCCCCCTCGATCCGGCCGAACAAAAGCTGTTTAGGCATGCGGTGGCTGGGCATGCGGGCTACATGACCCAGCCAACGCAGCCTTGCCTGCCGGAGGAGCTCACTGATGGGACTTTGCCCAGATCTTTCAAGGATTTGTGAGCTCCTCACACAATCCAGCCTGGTTAAACCCAGGATGGATCGTAGGCAGGCCAGCCTAAATGTTTCCAACCGGCGAAGATGCTCCACCAGGGGGGTCCACGTCTCGCAAGCGTAGAGAAGGGAGGGAATGACCGTGGCCGAGAAGACCTGAAGCTTCGTGCGGAGCGACAGACCAGGTAGCTTCCACACAGCGTTACGCAACCGATGAAAAGATATTGCCGCTCGACTGATTCGGAGTGAGACCTCTGCTGATAGACTGGAGCCGGTCATAAGCATACTGCCCAGGTATGGGAAACTCTCCACTCTCTCCACAACTGCCCCATCACCAATTGGGAGTTGTGGGGGTGGAGTGTCCGATGGTACAAAATACCCAGGCAGGTGCTTGGTTTTGGTGGGGCTGATGGTAAGGCCCCACCTCTTAGTGGCACGCTCCAGTCTCAGCAGCAGCGCCTCCAACTCCTCTTCTGAATGAGCAGCTATTACCAAATCATCGGCATACATAACGTGGTTGACCAATAGGGAGCCACCCCTTGATCGCACCCGGGCGTCGATCAGCCTCCCATTATATCTGTACCAAACCACCATCACCACCACCATCACCACCAACACCACCATCACCACCAACACCACCATCACTACCACCATCACCACCAACACCACCATCACCACTACCATCACCACCACCAACACCACCATCACCACCACCATCACCACCACCATCATCACCACCATCACCACCATCACGACCACAGTGTTTGACGATGTGGCCCACAGTTCGTGTCGCGTGGCTACAGTCGCATTACTGTGGCTCGCCTTGAATGCATCTCCCGGTGTCTCCTCGTGCGCCTACGGGTCTCAGTGTCACTCTGCGGGCCTCTCTCTCTCTCTCTGCGTCTCCAGGGGGGGTTTAGCATACGGTCCACAGTGCTGGCTTGCGTGGCCTCAATCGCGACACGTACTGCGGCTTGTGCATTTGACTCACTAACCTACCACACGCACCCTCACTCCCAGGTACACTCACCTACCACACACACCGAGCGCGATCACCAACCACACCAAAACTCGTTTGTTCTTGTAACGTTCTGAGCCGTTCCTACTGGGACGTCTGTGATTTAAAAACCAAAAAGCTTCATAGCTCATCGGATTCCTCCAGGATTAATAGATATTCTGATTTTGAACTTATAACGGAGGCAGCAGCAGCAGCAATATCAGTAGCAGCAACAGCAGCAGCAACAGCAGCAGCAGCATCATCAGCAGCAGCAACATCAGCAGCAGCAACAGCAGCAGCAACATCAGCATCAGCAGCATCAACAGCAGCATCATCATCAGCAGCATCGTCATCAGCAGCAGAAGCAACATCAGCAGCAGCAACATCAGCAGCATCATCATCATCTGCAGCAGCAGCAACATCATCATCAGCAACATCAGCAGCAGCATCATCATCATCAGCAGCAACAGCGAAGGTCGTAAGCGACTGTAGACCCAGGCACGGCATCATCGTGCGCTTGATGCGTCAGGGAAAGCAACGGGGAGAGAGGGAGAGAGGGAGAGATGTTGCAGAAGTAGGGAAGGAGAATGATGTGAAACGGTGGCTGGAGCTCGGAGGCAAGGGAGGGGGGGGATAGGAGGGGAGAGGGGCTAGGGGGATATGGGGGGGGGGGGTGTTGGAGAGTGGTGGTGGTGGGGGTGTTGGCGGCGGCGGCGGTGGTGGTGGTGGTGATCAAAATCGTTGCCCAAACACATTCGGTAAACGGCTCGCCCGAGACTCGTTCGCTCCTCCAAAACTCCTTTAATATTTAAACTGGATCCGTCCGCTCGTGGCTTCTCCCACTCGCGCCCGGCGCAGCCACTTAAGGACGCATCTGTTGCTGGGCACAGATCCAAAGAACACGCGCGCGCGCCACACACCACACGCCACACAAAGACAAAGATTCCCCGTGTAGCCTCAACGGAGCGTTGAAACAAGTGCTGGCGACGAGAAGCGCGTGTGAAGGTTGCGGCGCTGCACGGGCGGCACACGACGCCCGCATTTTGTATCCCCGTGGCTGGTTTTGTTTTAATCGACGCCACAGCAGGTATTGCATCTTTTTTAAGGCTGAGTCGACCCAGAGGAGATTCCGGCACCGGTTAATATTCGTCACTAGCGCGGGCCGTGAGCGGGAAGCGAACTGGGATCGTTGCCGGGTTCGTAGCGGAATGCGTTAACCATTAACACAACAAAACAAAGATCTTCCGTATAGCCTGCCAGGAGGTTTGGGGCAAGTGCTGGGAAGGCCGGCACAAAACACGAGGGGGTTGGTGGCCAGCACCATCCCTGTGTCCACACTGCACCGGGTACTCAATAAAGGCTGAGTCGACCTAGGGGAGGCCCAAGACTCGGTCAGATAATTATATGATCGTCGCTGGTGTGGGTGGCCGTGAGCCGGAATCGACCACGGGTTAGTAGCGCAGCGCGCTAACCACTGCGCCACCGCTCCCCCACACACACGCGCACTGACACACACACAGGCGCGCGCGTGCGTGTCTGCGATGTTAATACGCAAATGCGGGTCCCACGCGACTCGCAGACAAACAAAAACCCCCCAAACAAGTAAACAAAACACGCGCACCAACCTAAACAACACAATCACAAAGACCCCCCGTATAGCCTTAACCGACTGTAGGGGCAAGTGCTGTTAGCAAACATCTATAAAGGTCGGCACGCCACACGAAGAGGTGGCTGGCCAACACCACGCCCGGCCGTCTTTGTCTCCCCAGCCGCGATGTTTACATATCGCACCAGCTACTCATTTGAGACTGTGTCGACCTAGGGGAGGCCCAAGTACCGGTTCAGGTAATCGTCACCGGTGTTGGCCGCGAGCGGAAATCGAACTCGGGTCGCCGGGTTCGTAGCGCAGCGTTTAACCGTTACTACACTACCGCTCCCCACACACCCACGCGTACAGACACACACACAAACACGTGCGTGTGTCTGTGTTTGCGAGCGGTGGCGCAAGTGGTTAGCGCAGGAGGATAGGCAAGCGGCGGCTCTTCAACGACTGCCTCGTGGCGTGATTAGCCACGAGGCATTGCGGCTCTTGAAATGCGGTGTGTTATTATACTTATTTTTAAAATCACCAAATTAGAAAAACAAGTTGGCATCTGCTTGTTCTCTTGGGTTCTGCCGAACCGCTGGGTTGTAACGCAGTGCGCCACGAACCCGGCGACTCGAATTCGATTCTCGGTGACGGGTTTAACACGTGGCAGGCTTTCGCGACCCTATATAACCCATAATAGAAGGTTTTTTTTGGGGGTTAGATCGCGTAAATATATGAATGTGTCGTTCAAACCCGCCACCACCCGACACAGCCAACTGGTAAGGGTTGTCACGTGAACAGAACGCGTCGAATTGCGAATTGTATCGAGCGGGTGTCTTTCGTTCCGTGACGAATTGGCCACGTTCTGTTGACGTGACAACCCCTTACTAGTTGGGCCGTGTCGGGTGGTGGCGGGTTTGAACGACACACTTATACATTGACACGATCTAACCCTATAGAAAACCTTTATTATGGATCGGCGACGTTTTATTATTATTTTGTATTATCTAAACTCGGCCCGGGAACCTCTCTGTAGATCGACTCGGCCTTAAAACGGGCAACTTCCACGCGGTCGTTACCGACGGAACGCAACTGGCACCCGCTCGTGCCGCCAGTTCGCAGAACGAGGTCTCTGCTGCCAAACCGGAGCTGGCCACGTGCGTAATGTCCCCCGAGGGTTTTGGGGCACAAACTTCACTCTCTACACGACTGCCACATTACATCCGTGGGGGTGGTAGTTGAGGGGGTGGAGTGTTTGACGACGTAGAATATCCACCTCACCCCCCCAGGCAGGTGCGATGTTTAAATGGGGACGGTGAAATGGCAACACACGCGAACACAAACACCACCTGTGTCGTCTAGAGGAGCGTTTGGAGGCAAGTACTGTTAGCGATCACCTATGAAGGCCGGTACGGCACGCAGGGGGTGGGTGGCCAGCACCACGCCCGACGGCCTTTGGCTCCCCAGTGGCGATGTTTACACATCGCACCAGGTACTCATTTCAGACTGAATCCACCTAGGGGAGGCCCAGGACCGGTTCAGATAATCGTCACTGGTGTTGGCCGTGAGCGTGAATCGAACCCGGTTAGCCGGGTTCATAGCGCAGCGCGCTAACCGCGACACTACTGCTCCCCACAACTCTCCCACACGCACTCACTCTCCCACTCCCCACTCACTCCCCCACACACACTCTCCCCCACACACACACCCCCACACACTCACTCCCCCACACACTCACTCCCCCACACACACACTCTCCCACTCCCCACTCACTCTCCCACTCCACACACACTCACTCCCCCACACACTCTCCCACATACACACTCTCCCACTCCCTACTCACTCTCCCACACACTCACTCTCCCACTCTCCCACACACTCACTCTCCCACTCCACACACACACACTCTCCCACTCCCCACACACACACTCCCACACTCTCCCACTCCCCACACACACCTCCCCACTCACTCGCACCGACCCGGCAGCGCGCGCCGCAGTAATCGTCTCGAACGGAGTCGCTGTTCCCCTCGCTCGCCTCATTATTACCGCATGCAAATTGCACGACTCTCCCTCCCCTCTGTCCCCCCTCTCTCTCTACCGTCACCCCCCTTCTAAGCCCCCCCCCCACCCACATCTCGCACCCCCCCCCCCTCATCTTCCACCCGACTCTTCTCGGTTGTAATATTAACGTACATTTCATTTTCGGGGCGTTTGAAATGTTCGTTCAAAGACCGCGCAGCGATGGAAATGGCCATGCGTCGTTTCACAGCGGCATCTAATTAAGTGCGGCTGATGCCGGTTCGTGCGGTGGACGGGGGGGGTACCCTCCCCCAACTTATAGCCTCCCCCCCACCACAGCCAGCCTCCCTCCTACGCCTCGGCAAGGTAAGGTAAAAGTGTAAAAACAACGAGCCTACCTTTACCTTACCACAATACAATCACTCTACCCTACCCTTTACCCTTTAGCAGGTAAGGTAAAAAGCAACGAGCCTACCTTTTACCCTACCCTTTACCCTTACCCCTTGGCATGTCGACATCTTTACCCTTTAGCTTTACCATTTTACCCGGTAAAAAGGGTACAATTACCTTACCTTGCCGAGGCCTACTCCCTCCCATCCATCCCCAGCACCCTGCCCGCGTCTGGCGCGCCCTACCTGAACTCGCGGTTTCATTCCTTCGCTTCACGCGGCCCGCGACTTCACTTCACAATAAACCCGCTCGCACGAAGCCCCGTAACATATTTATCCATCACTGCAATAATCTTAGCCGCACTAATCGGGCACTATTTTCGACCTGGTCAACAACATTGTGCTGTGTACGTTTAGGACTCGCCTAGTGTGGGCACAAGACCGGTGCAGATTAGTTGGCACCTATGCTACACGGTGGCTCTTCCCCCACCACGCTACGTACAGATGATAGACGTAGACCCCCCTTACAGCCTTAACATACTTTTTGAGCAAGTGCTGTTAGCGAGCACCTATGAAGGTCAGCACTGCACACGAGGGGGTGGGTGGCCAACGAGCCAACACCACTCCCGGCCGCTTTTGTCTCTCCCCAATGCCGACGTTTACAGCTTGGCACCAGTAACTCATTTGAGGCTGAGTCGATCTAGGGGCGACCCAGGACCGGTTCAGATAATCGTCGAACTCTGGTCGCTGGGTCCGTTGCGGAACGCGCTAACCGCTACACTACCGCTCACCCACGGATGCACACACACACACACACAGACAATAACACACACAGACACACACACTCGCGAGCAGACACACACACACAGTCACACACCTGGTGACACCACAATCGCTTAACGCTGCACGCCTCTCCGTGCTGCGTGAACCCCGTCTAGGTTTGCTCGCCGCTTCATTTGCTAATTGGGGCGCTTGCGATCGCTTCTCGAAGTGTATGTGGCTCTATGTGTGTGGCTGTGTGTGTGTAGGTGGCTGTGTGTGTCTGTGTGTGTGTATGTGGATGTGTGTGTGTGGCTGTGTGTGTGTAGGTGGCTGTGTGTGTAGGTGGCTGTGTGTGTATGTGTGTGGCTGTGTGTGTGTGGCAATGTGTGTTTGGCTGTGTGTGTGGCTGTGTGTGTGGCTGTGTGTGTGTGTGGCTGTGTGTGTGGCTGTGTGTGTGGCTGTGCGTGTGTGCGGCTGTGTGTGTGGCTGTGTGTGTGTGTGTGGCTGTGTGTACGTGTGTGTGTGTGTGTCTGTGTGTGTGTGGGAGGTGTAGTGGATCTTTGTCTTTGTTAAGTCGGCTGCGCTCCCCGCTGTGGCCGTGTGGAAGCGATAATCAGTGCCAACTTTCACTCCTCGTCGCCAAACGCCTTCGCGCCTCGGTCAGCCAGGGCGACACGCACAGACACACAAACAATACCATCCACTTCGCTTCTTTATCGCAGCGGTATTTATATAATTACGAAAGCTCCAAGTCGAGATTCATTGCCTCGTAGTCGTCGTCGTGAGCAGCTGCGGCGTCCGTGGCCCTTGCGAGTGTCAAACACACGGGGCCCTGCGTGTCACAAGTTGTGCCAAGCTGTGTCAGTGTGTCAGTGTGTCAGTGTGTCAAGCTGTGTCAGTGTGTGTCAGTGTGTGTCAGTGTGTCAAGTTGTGTCAAGTTGTGTCAGTGGCACTTGCCCCAACAGTCTGTTGCAGGCTACGCGGGGTGATCTTTGCGCGTCTCAGAATGTGTGTTTAGAATGTGCAAGCGTGTGTTTGTATCGACGTGTGTATTGCTTCAAGGTGCACCTAGTCTGGCACGCGCGCCGCGGTGACGTAGGATAGGGGCACGGTGCGGCTTCGCCATCACATCTGCGGACGTGGTGTGATCAGCGCAGAAGCTTGGGTGATGTTTTGATGAGGGAGATCATACAAGGCAGATGATACGATGGAGTGATGGGACGATGTGTTCATGGTGGTGTTTGGGTGATGTGTTGATGGGATGATGGGTTCATTAGATGATAAGGTTATGGGATGATGGAGTGATGATGATGATGGTATGATGATGGGTTAATGAGATGGTCAGGTCATGTGTTGATGGGATGATGGGTCCACGGAATGATGAGATGGTGAGGTGATGTGTTGATGATGCAGCGATGTGTCGATGCTGTGGTGGTGATGTCGTGATCGGATGATGTGATGATAATGTGGAGATGAGACGATGGGGGTGATGTGGAGATGAGGTGATGATGTGGTGATGATAATGTGGAGATAATTGATGATGATGTGGAAGCGCTGATGATGATGATGTGGATATTGATGATGATGCGGAGGCGATGATAATGATGGTGTGGAGGCGATGATGATGATGATGATGGTGTGGAGGCGATGATGGTGATGATGGTGTGAAGGCGATGATGGTGATGATAGTGTGGAGGCGATGATGATGTTGATGATGATGATGGTGATGATGATGGTGATGATGGTGTGGAGGCGATGATGATGAAGGTGATGATGATGATGGTGATGATGATGGTGTGGAGGCGATGATGGTGATGATGATGGTGTGGAGGCGATGATAATGATGGTGATGATGGTGATGATGGTGGTGATGATGGTGTGGAGGCGATGATAGATGATGATGATGATGGTGATGATGTGGAAGCGAAGATGATGATGTGGAGGCGATGGTGGTGATGATGATGATGGTGGTATCGTGGTGAGACGATGGTGATGATGGTGATGATGGTGATGATGATGGTGATGATGTGGAGGCGATGATGACGATGATGATGATGGTGATGATGATGATGGTGATGACGATGTTGGTATCGTGGTGAGACGATGTAGCTGCTGGGCTCTCACCCTCCACAAGTGACGTCAGCAGCGTCACGTTGGCCGCCTTGCGCCGCCCGGCCGGGAGGTTCAGGCCGATCTTGTCGAGTTTCTCTCGCAGGGAGCGGCCCCCGTTTTTTGACTTGGCTCTGCGAGCGTAACAATCGTCATCAACAACAACACATCGATAACATCATCATTGTCAGCATCACCATCGTTAATATCATTATCAGCATCATCATTATCAGCATCATCATTATCAGCACGTCATTGTCAGCATCATCGTTGTCAGCATCACCGTCAGTATCAGAATCGTAAGCACCGTCATCATTATCAGCATCATTATCAGCGTCATCATTATCAGTATAATCGTTATCAGCATTATCAGTAACATCGTCAGTATCAGCATCATCGTTATCAGCATCATCGTTATCAGCATCATAATCATCAGCATTATCAGCATCATGGTCAGCATCATCATCGTCAGCATCATCATCGTCAGCATCAGCATCAACCGTCAGCATCAGACTCATCAGCATCAACAGCATCACTCTCAGCGGCAGCGTTAAAATGATCAGCATCGGCAATGCGTAAACATCACCGCTGTCCATCCCACAATGCACCAGGTACTGATTTATGGCTGAGTCGACCTCGGGGGAGGCCCGGGACAGATTCACTCCCCTCAGGTTCATCCCCCCCCCCCGCTTGCTCCATCCCTCACCACTCGCTCCACCCCTCACCACTCGCTCAATCCCTCACCACTCGCTCCATCTCTCACCACTCGCTCCATCCCTCACCACTCGCTCCATCTCTCACCACTCGCTCCATCTCTCACCACTCGCTCTACTCCTCACCACTCGCTCCACCCCTCACCACTCGTTCCACCCCTCACCACTCGCTCCACCCCTCACCACTCGCTCCATCACTCACCACTCGCTCCACCCCTCACCACTCGCTCCACCCCTCACCACTCGCTCCACCCCTCATCACTCGCTCCACCCCTCACCACTCGCTCCATCCCTCACCACTCGCTCCATCTCTCACCACTCGCTCCCTCACCACTCGCTCCACCCCTCACCACTCGCTCCACCACTCACCACTCGCTCCACCCCTCACCACTCGCTCCACCACTCACCACTCGCTCCACCCCTCACCACTCGCTCCACCACTCACCACTCGCTCCACCCCTCACCACTCGCTCCACCCCTCACCACTCGCTCCACCCCTCACCACTCGCTCCACCCCTCACCACTCGCTCAATCCCTCACAACTCGCTCCACCCCTCACCACTCGCTCCACCCCTCACCACTCGCTCCACCCCTCACCACTCGCTCCATCCCTCACCACTCGCTCCATCTCTCACCACTCGCTCCACCCCTCACCACTCGCTCCCTCACCACTCGCTCCACCCCTCACCACTCGCTCCATCCCTCACCACTCGCTCCACCCCTCACGACTCGCTCCACCCCTCACCACTCGCTCCCTCCCTCACCACTCGCTCCACCCCTCACCACTCGCTCCGTCCCTCACCACTCGCTCCGTCCCGCACCACTCGCTCCGTCCCTCACCACTCGCTCCATCCCGCACCACTCGCTCCACCCCTCACCACTCGCTCCGTCCCTCACCACTCGCTCCATCCCGCACCACTCGCTCCGTCCCTCACCACTCGCTCCATCCCGCACCACTCGCTCCACCCCTCACCACTCGCTCCACCCCTCACCACTCGCTCCATCCCTCACCACTCGCTCCATCTCTCACCACTCGCTCCACCCCTCACCACTCGCTCCCTCACCACTCGCTCCACCCCTCACCACTCGCTCCCTCCCTCACCACTCGCTCCACCCCTCACCACTCGCTCCACCCCTCACCACTCGCTCCATCTCTCACCACTCGCTCCATCCCTCACCACTCGCTCCATCTCTCACCACTCGCTCCATCCCTCACCACTCGCTCCATCTCTCACCACTCGCTCCACCCCTCACCACTCGCTCCATCTCTCACCACTCGCTCCACCCCTCACCACTCGCTCCCTCCCTCACCACTCGCTCCCTCCCTCACAACTCGCTCCATCTCTCACCACTCGCTCCACCCCTCACCACTCGCTCCATCTCTCACCACTCGCTCCATCCCTCACCACTCGCTCCATCTCTCACCACTCGCTCCATCCCTCACCACTCGCTACCACTGCTCCATCTCACCACTCGCTCCACCCCTCACCACTCGCTCCATCTCTCACCACTCGCTCCACCCCTCACCACTCGCTCCCTCCCTCACCACTCGCTCCCTCCCTCACCACTCGCTCCATCTCTCACCACTCGCTCCATCCCTCACCACTCGCTCCATCCCTCACCACTCGCTCCACCCCTCACCACTCGCTCCATCTCTCACCACTCGCTCCACCCCTCACCACTCGCTCCCTCCCTCACCACTCGCTCCATCCCTCACCACTCGCTCCACCCCTCACCACTCGCTCCATTCCTCACCACTCGCTCCCTCCCTCACCACTCGCTCCACCCCTCACCACTCGCTCCATTCCTCACCACTCGCTCCCTCCCTCACCACTCGTTCCATCCCTCACCACTCGCTCCACCCCTCACCACTCGCTCCATTCCTCACCACTCGCTCCACCCCTCACCACTCGCTCCATCCCTCACCACTCGCTCCACCCCTCACCACTCGCTCCACCCCTCACCACTCGCTCCACCCCTCACCACTCACTCCACCCCTCACCACTCGCTCCATCACTCATCACTCGCTCCATCTCTCACCACTTGCTCCACCCCTCACCACTCGCTCCATCCCTCACCACTCGCTCCACCCCTCACCACTCGCTCCACCCTCACCACTCGCTCTCACCACTCGCTCCATCCCTCACCACTCGCTCCCTCCCTCATCACTCGCTCCACCCCTCACCACTCGCTCCATTCCTCACCACTCGCTCCACCCCTCACCACTCGCTCCACCCCTCACCACTCGCTCAATCCCTCACCACTCGCTCCATCACTCACCACTCGCTCCACCCCTCACCACTCGCTCCACCCCTCACCACTCGCTCCACCCCTCACCACTCGCTCCACCCCTCACCACTCACTCCACCCCTCACCACTCGCTCCATCACTCATCACTCGCTCCATCTCTCACCACTTCGCTCCACCCCTCACCACTCGCTCCACCCCTCACCACTCGCTCCACCCCTCACCACTTGCTCCAACCATCACCACTCGCTCCACCCCTCACCACTCGCTCCATCCCTCACCACTCGCTCCACCCCTCACCACTCGCTCCATCTCTAACTCCCTATCGCCTTTTGCATTTCGTTTCTTGATGACGACACTGGCTGACCCCGTGCGCCCCACTCCTGGACACGTGCGTGCACGATAAGAAAAAGAGCTTCACAGCTCATCGGATTTCTCCTCCTCCTGTCAACGTCCCCCCCTCCTCCCATTTGCATCGTTAACGTGAGCCCACGGCGAGGAGAGAGAGGGATGGGGGGTAGGGATGGAGAAGGGGGGTCGGTGGCGGTGACGACCTCCAAACTCACCGGCGCAGCACGCCGCCCAGCAACGAGGCGTTGAGACACTCCGGCGGCGAGAGGCGCCTCTGCACCTCGCCCACGGTCACCTTGTACTTGGACGTCGAGCTGAGCAGCGAGAGGCGGCCCGGCACGGAGCAGAACACCTCCGACGGGTTCCCGTGCATGGCGCTCATCAGGCCGTCTTTGCCCAGGGACAGCGCTCCGGCCGACTTGCCGCCTGACAGCGCCGCTGCAACGGACACACCGCGGTGGCCAAATGTCACGTCGGTTGGCACGAGTGGCAGAGTCGTCTCTGTGACGCGACACGCGCGCGGCTTCTTCTTCCGTCGGAGGAAAGCTCTTGGCGCGACGCGGAACGCGCGCCGTTGGAACGCGCTTAGTTAGAACGCGCGGAATGTGCGCCGTTGGAACGCGCGCCGTTGAAAAATGGAAAACGCGCCCCATTATAACGCGGAACGCTTATCCTGTTATAACGCGGAACGCTCGCACCGTTATAACGTGGAACGTGCACACCGTTATAACGCGGAACGCTTATCCTGTTATAACGCGGAACGCTCGCACCGTTATAACGCGGAATGCTCGCACCGTTAAACGGAATTACACAGCGACCTGGAATGATACAGGAACGCGGCGGCCGCAGCTCAGTTATGTGTCCCGTCATCTCGCGGTGTGTGCGTAGGAGCACAGGAAAACCGCGTCTCGCCAAACTTCATCGTCACATTAGTTACCGGGTAAATCGCTTTCGCTCGACTCTTTTGTCGCTTGACGCAGAACTCTTTTTTAGAAACACACCTGCTCCAGCAACAGCAACAACAACAAAAAGGTTACCTAGGTTCGATTCCCGATACAGGCGCCCCTCTCTGTCGACTTTGTACGTTCTCCCCGCCTTCCCTGAACTCAGTGGTTTCTTCACCTGGGGTGCACCCACCCCCTGGCAGTGCGAGAGGCCCGTTCTGCGTTTTGCGAGACGCGGACAGATTTTGCTTTAGAAGGTAAATCAACGTCGTGAGACTTATTTTATTATGTTTATTTTTATTATTTTATTATTTCCCTTCTACGTGACTTTACAGAAAGAACCAAGAAGAAAAGGTAAATCATCGATATACAAATTAAGCACGAGTACGTAAAGTCCAACTGTTTTGTTGTTTCATTAAACCCCACGTGCTTGTTAACATTGTACATCGTTTCTTTTGTTTACAATTGAGAATGCTGCAGTAAGCGTTAAGAACCACCGCCTTCACGAGACGGCAACAGATCAAGACGCAGGTCATCCACTAGAGGCCGCTGTAGCGAGCCCCTCTGGAGGGAAAGTTGGCCTCGTATTCAGACGTCTTGGTGGTGGGGGGGAGCAGTACCCACCACACTTTACCTCGCCCCACGCGAATGTTTTTTGTTGCAGTTTGAGCGAACAAAACTTGCTTGATAGAAATGTACAAGTTGGGTTTACGTGTGGACAATGTTGAACTTCTTTCGCGCCGTGCGTAGCCAACCGTGGTGATTGGAGGTTCGGGGAATATTGACTTATTTAATCATTATCATCATTATAATCATCATCATCAATCAGCTGGTGACGGCTTATGGAAGTCTCCATCCAGCAGTGGATTGAACACGGTTGATGATGATGATTGTTGTTATTTTTGTTGTCGTGCTGTGAGAAGTTGATGCAACGCCAATAGACGCCGATTGAACCCTACAACCCGTTCAGTGGCCCTGTCACTAATAATTCACTGTGTCACAATAAAATACAAGAAAATTTGTTCCCGGGTAGTAAGTGTAATTTTCAAATTGCTTATGTCTCAAAAGAATAGACGACGTCTATTATTCCCCACAAACTTTGCTTTTGTGACCAGGACATTGATATTCTTGGTTCTTTCCAGATAGAAAAAATGAAAAAGAAGAAAAAAAACAAGTAAAAAAAAACAATTATTGAAAATAATAAAAAGCAAAATAACACTATAAAAAAATAAGTCAAAATCTAGGACAGTGATATTTTGAAATGTATCTATTTTCAATGAGAAAACGAGCAAATTTGTGTCATTCCTTCACGTAAAGTCCTGGTCACAAAAGCAACATTTGTGAGGCATAATAGCCATTTTCTGGACTTTGAAGGCATAAGAAATAAGAAAATAACACTTACTAGCCAGGTACAAAAATCGTGTTACATCGTGATATACAATTCCTCCACGCCGCCCTTCCTCTCTCCTCCTCCTCCTTCTTCCACATGACCCCCCCCCCCCACGTCACACCACCACCCCCCACGTCACACCACCACCCCCCACGTCACACCACCACCCCCCACGTCACACCACCACCCCCCCACGGCAGTGAGTGGCCGGCTAATCGACCCTGAGCGATAAACGGACGGGCAATGCGCGGCGGAGATTATTCCGGGATTACGCGGAGTGTGTTTTTTTTCTCTCTCTCCTGGTTTAAGATTAAACACGGGGGCCCGCTCAAACAAAGCGGCCCTTTCATAATTCCCGGCGAACCCCTCTCGCTCGCTCACTGTGTGTGCGCGCGTGTCTTTGTTAAGTGAGCGAGGTGTGCAGAGGGGGGTTCGCTAACACGGCTGGCCCCAACAGTTGTTTGAGAGCAATAACGCACGCGGGTCATTGTGTGCTTCGTTATCGAGGGGAGCGGTAGCGTCGCCGGTTAGCGCAGCGGCGAAACCGGGTTCGATTCCCGCTCCACGGCACACCAACGCCGGTGACGATTATCCGAACCAGTCCAGGGCCCTCCCCTAGGTCGACTCAGCCTCGTACGAGTACCCGGTGCGGTGTGCTAACATCGCCACTGGGGAGACAAAGGCGGCCGGGGAGAGGCGCTGATCACCCGCCCCCTCGTGCGCCGTGCCGGCCATCGTAGTAGCACTTGCCCCGACAGTCTGTTAAGGCTATATGGGGGGTCTTTGTCTTTGTTGTCATCGTGCGGAGCGGTGGCGCGGTGGTTGGCTTTTCGCAACTTGCGCCACGAACCCGGAGACGCCGAGTAAAATTCGAACCGGTTTCTGGGCCTTACCTAGGTCGACTCGGCCTCAAACGAGTACCTCGTGCGATATGTAGATAGAGTGGCGTGGTTTTATTGTGCCCGGCCACACCACTCCGTCGCGAGCAGCACTCGGCGCGACAGTCTGATGCAGGCGATGCGCGCGCGGGGATTTTTTTGTCGTCGCATGAACGCATCTTTGCGTGTGCGTCCAGACTCCACATCCCCCCCCCCCCTACAACAAGGAACGCACCCACCCCCCTCGCCATAGCCTCCGGGTGCTGGGGCAATTCCTGTTCGCAGCGCAGCAACACGCCCGACCGCCTTCGTTTCCCGAGTGGCGAGGGATGTTTTTCCACATTTAAGGCTGAGTCGACCTCGCGGAGACCCAGGTCGACTCAGCCGGTTGAGATAATCGTCGGTGGGGTTGACCGGAATCGAACTCGGGTCGCCGTGTTCCTAGCGCGGCGCGCTAACCACTGCGCTACCGCTTCCTAACACACACACACAAAAGACAAAGAACCCCCGTGTAGCCTTAACAGACTCTAGGGGCAAGTGCTGTTAGCGAGCACCTATGAAGGCCAGAACGGCACACGAGGGGGTGGGTGGCCAGCAACCACGCCCGGCCGCCTTTATCTCCCTAGTGGCGATGTTTTTACGCACGGCACCAGGTACACATTCGAGGCTGAGTCGAGCTAGGGGAGACCCAGAACCGGTTCAGATAATCGTCACCGGCATTGTCCGTGAGCGCGAATCGAACCCCGGGTCGCCAGGTTCGTAGCGCTAACCGCTGCACCACCGCTCCCCAGCGCAGACGCACACAGGCGGCAGGGACAAAGCGTGACTGACGCGAGTGTACACATACTTGCGGGAGTCTTTGAGAGTCAGATTACAGCACCCCCGAGGCTCCATTGAGCCGAAACTAAGCCAACCCCAAAACATAAATAACCACGGCGGCGGAGCAGATGTGTACCGTTTTGAGACGCCGCTGCGCTTGGCGAATGATGCGCGATTGACACCGATTCGAGGCACGGAGGAGCCGCATTCGAACTCTGAATATCAATGTCCGCGCGCGCGGGCACATGTCACACATCGGGCGACGCTTAAACTCGGGGGGGTCTCCCCCCCCCCAACTGCAACGCCGGGTAGGACTCCTTGCCTCGGGCACGGAGTTTTCCGAGCCGTGCCGGATCGGCACGGTTTCCCATTGGTCGTGGACACGCGCTGTACACAGTGATGGGTCTTCGAGACCGCGAACACGCGGTGGTCTCAGCGGCACCGCACGCGCTGTCGACCGTGCGACGAGCCGAGTTCGATTCACGGACAACATCGGTGGCAAGCGATCATCTGATTCGAGCCTCGCTAACGCTACCCCGCCACCACCACCACCGCCACTGCCACCCCGTCGTTGCCCCAAAACGTCGCCTTATATACACAGTACTCGTACGCCACAGCGCCTCGCCAGGTGAGAACTTGAAGAGGTGAGAGTCTGAACCAGGTGAGGGCCTGGCCAGGTGAGAGCCTTGACAAATGAGAGACTGACCAGGTGACAGCTTGAAGAGGTGAGAGCCTGAACCAGGTGAGAGTGCGACCAGGTGAGAGATGGAACAGTGGGTTTACTGTGCGTAGTCCGGATTTGCAAGGCCATATTTGCACGACTGTGGTTTGCCTTTAATATCTCTCTCGGGTTTCGATGTATCTCTAGGGGTCTCTGTGTATCTCCATGCGCCTCTATGGGTTGAGTAGACGCTCCGTAGTTTGGGTTGCATGGACACAATCGCACCGCTGCGGCTCGCGTCTTTCATGTTCCACTCACGAAGGCGCTGCGGTGCCCATCGGCCTGGTGTTGATGTTCCGACGTTGCGGTTGATGGTTCCAGGAGGAGGAGGAAAGTTCAAGGCATGGAGGAGGTGCGGTGATGTTTGGGTCTTGCACGAGGTGTTCATCTTGGACGTACGCGTCGTTCCACTCTGTCCGCCGTGATGGCGACGATATCGTTCAATTTTATGGTTCTCGTTACCCCTCCCTCCCTCCCTGCCTCCCTCCCCGCCTCCATCTCTCCCTCGCTGTGGCACGAGCCACTGCTAACCGTCGAGTGTCGCGACCCGTTCGCGACTCCCCGTCGCGAACACGCTGTAGGTTGTGTACACGAGCAGTAAGTAAGCGCGCCCGGTCTCCGATCAGTCGCTAATGTCCACAGCGTCGCGCCTCTCACGGATTTGCATAATTGTTGCCTACGTTTGC